TGCACCTTATCTCCACTCCAATCTGGCTCCTCTGTCCACACGTTCCTCCAGGGAGCAGCCACAAGAGGTTTGGCTGGGGTATGTGGCATCATTTCAGCGACCTGGCACATCACAAAAATCAGAGAGAAGATAAATAGGGATCCAACCAAGAATGCAGATAGAGGGCAGTAACAGAGTCCATGTTTATAAGAAATATCCCTATCCTCCAGGCTTTTGTTTCAGACATGCAAAGACCATTTTTAGACATTTATTTAACTTATTAAGCCACATAGCCTTGGGTTGAACTCTAGAAATATACACTCTTGCCCGAGGCCAATGCTACTCTGAAAACTTTGTGAGCAAATCTTTTCTCTTCCATTACCTCTTTAAGCCACAACTGTTAAAGCTCTCAATTACGAAATAATTAAGACACCATGACTTGTGGATCTAAAGCACAATTTACACAGAGTAACTTCTTCATTGAGTAATTTGTTTCTCCCCCTTATAGCCAGTAGCACACTCAGAGTACTAATCACAATAACAAAAAGTAAAACATAAAATGCATGGGAAAAAGTCACGGGAAAAGAAAAAGTTCCCATTTTCTTAATTGTTTTGGGTTCGTTATTGTAGGTCTTTTCCTTCTCTTGCGTTTCTTGCCTAGAGAAGTTCCTTTAGCAGTTGTTGTAAAGGTGGTTCGGTGGTGCTGAACTCTCTCAGCTTTTGCTTATCTGTAAAGGTTTTAATTTCTCCATCAAATCTGAATGAGATCCTTGCTGGGTAGAGTAATCTTGGTTGCAGGCTTTTTCTCCTTCATCACTTTAAATATGTCCTGCGAGTCCCTTCTGGCTTGCAGTTTCTGCTGAAAGATCAGCTGTTAACCTTATGGGGATTCCCTTGTGTGTTATTTGTTGTTTTTCCCTTGCTGCTTTTAATATGTTTTCTTTGTATTTAATTTTTGACAGTTTGAGTAATATGTGTCTTGAATTTACCCTGTATGGGACTCTCTGTGCTTCCTGGACTTGATTAACTATTTCCTTTCCCATATTAGGGAAGTTTTCAACTATCATCTCTTCAAATATTTTCTCAGTCCCTTTCTTTTTCTCTTCTTTTTCTGGAACCCCTACAATTTGAATGCTGCTGCGTTTAATGTTGTCCCAGAGGTCTCTGAGACTGTCCTCAGTTCTTTTCATTCTTTTTTCTTTATTCTGCTCTGCAGTAGTTATTTCCACTATTTTATCTTCCAGATCACGTATCCGTTCTTCTGCCTCAGTTATTCTGCTATTGATTCCATCCAGAGTATTTTTCATTTCATTTATTGTGTTGTTCATCATTGTTTGTTTCATCTTTAGTTCTTCTAGGTCCTTGTTAAATGTTTCTTGCATTTTGTCTATTCTATTTCCAAGATTTTGGATCATCTTTACTATCATTATTCTGAATTCTTTTTCAGGTAGACTGCCTATTTTCTCTTCATTTGTTAGGTCTGGTGGGTTTTTATCTTGCTCCTTCATCTGCTGTGTGTTTTTCTGTCTTCTCATTTTGCTTATCTTACTGTGATTGGGTTCACCTTTTTGCAGGCTGCAAGTTCGTAGCTCCCGTTGTTTTTGATGTCTGTCTCCAGTGGCTAAGGTTGGTTCAGTGGGTTGTGTAGGCTTCCTGGTGGAGGGGACTAGTGGCTGTGTTGTGGTGTATGAGGCTAGATCTTGTCTCTCTAGTGGGCAGGTCCACGTCTGGTGGTGTGTTTTGGGGTGTCTGTGGACTTATTATGATTTTAGGCAGCCTCTCTGCTAGTGGGTGGGGTTGTGTTCCTGTTTTGCTATATGGTTGGCATAGGTTGTCCAGCACTGTAGCTTGCTGGTCGTTGAGTGAAGCTGGGTGCTGGTGTTGAGATGGAGATCTCTGGGAGATTTTCGCCGTTTGATATTATGTGGGGCTGGGAGGTCTCTTCTTGACGAGTGTTCTGAAGTTGGCTCTCCCACCTCAGAGGCAGAGTCCTGACTCCTGGCTGGAGCAGCAAGAGCCTTTCATCCACTCGGCTCAGAATAAAAGGGAGAGAAAGTAGAGAGAATTAGTAGAAGTAGGAGGAAATAGGAAAGAAAGAAAGAAAGAAAGAAAGAGAGGAGGGAAGGAAGGAAGGAGGGAAGGAAGAAAGAAAGAAAGAAGAAAAGAAAGGAAGAAGGCAAGAAGGAAAGAAAGGAGGGAGATAAAATAAAATAAAGTAAGATAAAATAAAATAATTAAAATAAAAAATAATTATTAAGAAAAAAATTTTTTAAAGAAACAAAACGGATGGATAGAACCCTAGGACAAATGGTGAAAGCAAAGCTATAAAGACAAAATCTCACACAGAAGATACACATACACACTCACAAAAAGAGGAAAAGGGGGAAAAAATCATAAATCTTGCTCTCAAAGTCCACCTCCTCAGTTTGGGATGATTCGTTGTCAAAGGAGGGAAGGAAGGAAGGAAGGAAGGAAGGAAGGGAGGAAGGGAGGGAGGGAGGGAGGAAAGAAAGAAAGAAAGAAGATAAAGTAAAATAAAATAAAGTTATTAAAATAAAAAATAATTATTAAAAAAAAAACCGACAGAACCCTAGAACAAATGGTGGAAGCAAAGCTATACAGACAAAATCTCACACAGAAGCATACACATACACACTCACAAAAAGAGGAAAAGGGGAAAAAATCATAAATCTTGCTTTCAAAGTCCACCTCCTTAATTTGGGATGATTCGTTGTCTATTCACGTATTCCACAGATACAGGGTACATCAAGTTGATTGTGGAGCTTTAATCCGCTGCTCCTGAGGCTGCTGGGAGAGATTTCCCTTTTTCTTCTTTGTTCTCACAGCTCACAGGGGCTCAGCTTTCGATTTGGCCCTGCCTCTGCGTGTAGGTCGCTGGAGGGCGTCTGTTTTTTGCTCAGACAGGACGGGGTTAAAGGAGCCGCTGACTCGGGGGCTCTGGCTCAGGCCGGGGGGGAGGGAGGGGCACGGAGGGCGGTGCGAGCCTGCGGCGTCAGAGGCCGACGGGACATTGCACCAGCCTGAGGCGCGCCGTGCGTTCTCTCGGGGAAGTTGTCCCCGGTTCCTGGAACCCTGGCAGTGGCGGGCTGCACAGGCTTCCCGGAAGGGAGGCGTGGAGAGTGAGCTGTGCTTGCACACAGGCTTCTTGGTGGCGGCAGCAGCAGCCTTAACGTCTCATGCCTGTCTCTGGGGTCTGCGCTGTTAGCCGTGGCTCGCGCCCGTCTCTGGAGCTCCTTTAAGCAGCGCTCATAATCCCCTCTCCTCGCGCACCAGGAAACAAAGAGGGAAGAAAAAGTCTGTTGCCTCTTCGGCAGCTCCAGACTTTTCCCCGGACTCCCTCCCGGCTAGCCATGGCGCACTAACCCCTGCGGGCTGTGTTCACGCCGCCAACCCCAGTTCTCTCCCTGCGCTCCGACCGAAGCCCGAGCCTCAGCTCCCAGCCCCGCCTGCCCTGGCGGGTGACCAGACAAGCCTCTCGGACTGGTGAGTGCTGGTCGGCACCTATCCTCTGTGCGGTAATCTCTCCGCTTTGCCCTCCGCAGCCCCGAAGCTTCCCCCCTCCGCCACCCGCAGTCTCCGCCCGCGAAGGGGCTTCCTAGTGTGTGGAAATCTTTCCTCCTTCACAGCTCCCTCCCACTGGTGCGGGTCCTGTCCCTATCCTTTTGTCTCTGTTTATTCTTTTTTCTTTTGCCCTATCCAGGTACGTGGGGGGTTTCTTGCCTTTTGGGTGGTCTGAGGTCTTCTGCCAGCGTTCAGTAGGTGTTCTGTGGCAGTTGTTCCACGTGTAGATGTATTTCTGGTGTATCTGTGAGGAGGAAGGTGATCTCCGCGTCTTACTCTTCCGCCATCTTCCCGGAAGCCTCCAAGGGGTTGTTTTTAAGGGATGAAAAATGATGAGGAAGGCCAAAAAAAAAAAACTATGTAAATAAAAATCAAAAATGAATGTATTTTTCTCTTGAATTGTGTTTTTTTTTTTTTTTTTTTTTTTTGGTTTTTTGCAGTTTTTTTTTTTTTTTTTTGTGGTACGCGAGCCTCTCACTGTTGTGGCCTCTCCCGTTGCGGAGCACAGGCTCCGGATGCGCAGGCCCCGGACGCACAGGCTCAGCGGCCATGGCTCACGGGCCCAGCCGCTCTGCGGCATGTGGGACCTTCCTGGACTGGGGCACGAACCCATGGCCCCCGCATCGGTAGGCGGACTCTCAACCACTGCGCCACCAGGGAAGCCCTTGAATTGTGTTTTTAATGAGAATATTTCTCCATCATGCCAACATGATATAATGGAAAGAAAAATGGACTGGAGTCAGAAAATCTGATTTAAACTTTGATGTTACCTGTTAATAGTCATGGGAATGTAAGCAATTCATTCTTGTTCTCATATAAATGATGCAAGTTGGACTAAGTTCTTTTTAAGGTAACTTCCAGATACTCTTTGACCCTAATATTTCCATTTGGTGGCAAATAATTCCTTAGGGATTTGTTCTCAGTTTAACTGAAGACATACAGCAAACATTGCCCAGAATCAGGCCATAGAACCCTACAGATCTGAGTCTGATCTTGGTCCTGCCAATGTTCTGCAATGTGATTTCATGTAAATTAGTAAGTTAATTAACTTTCTAAGCCTCAGTTTGCTCATCTGTATAACGCAGGTACTGCTGACTACGGTAATGCATTGTTATACCCACTGAATAAGAATATGGATGTAAAGCATCAGGCTTACTGGGAGTGCTCAGCTCTGGTCATCATTATCAGACTGTGAAAATCCCTAAACTTGTCTGTATCTTACTTGATTACTTGGAATAAATGTGCAAGAAAGTGAAAATTAAACTCCAATACTCTTTAAAGTTCTCTAATGGCAGCAACTAATGAATACAAAATGAAATTAGAGAACTGGAGATTTTAGAGGGGTATCATACACTAATAACACCTCCACATCATTCACAAAATTATAATCATTTTTAATTATCTTTGTAAAATGTGACTTTCCCATGTACCCTGGGCAGATGTGAAAGCATGGAGCTGGATAATAAAATCTGCGATCTGATTGAGAAGAATGTTTCTCCTGATCCCAGAGGGGTCACCCCGGGACCAATGCCAAGTCACAGAAGTCCATGTTCTGTGAAGGTAAGAAAACATCTTCTTTCGCGGTTTCTCAATACACCCTTCAGCAGCGTGTTCACCGAGAAGAATGCATGGGGACAGTCCCCAAATCATTTACAGTAATGCACTTCCTTGATGGCTGAGAGGACAAAATGAACCAGTATCAACTTCTCATACACAGTCACTTCCTGTTACCAAGGAAACCCTCAGCAGAAGCTTCTTCCAGTTTAAAGTGTGATACCAGGGGAAGCAGAGCTCAAGCCGCAAGAAAGAACGCTTAATGCAGCGACAGCTCTTTTGCTGGGAGGCACTAACCTCGTTTTTGTAAACCCACTTACACTGGGTTGCGAAAGTCTGCACAACTCACATCCATTTTTTTGATGAAAGAACAAGGTTTTCCTGATTAGAGAAGTTGTTTGACTTTGACTTTCCTCTTGTTTTAGGATATTTGTCTATGGTGCTTTATGTAATCAAATAAAATTCAAGGGTAAGCTCAAGCTAGGAATTTTGTGCACGACTTTCTAGAAATACATCATAAATGACAACATAAGCTCTTAAGCTCTGCAGCCCTTCTGATTGGAAACCGTCTCTAATGATCATTTCAAAAGAGATCTAATGTAAGTAAATTAGAGAGCATGGCTGACATTAAAAACATTTACATAACTTCTGCTTTGGTTCTTAGTTCTAAAATAATTCATGCTCATTGTGGAAAAGCTATACTAAGCATAGAGAATACTATAAAAATCATGCAGAGACAGATTTATTGTGGAGCTAATTAAGCTTGGATTCCCCTAAACAAATATTTACTTTTGTAACTAATTAGCATTCACAGATTTGTGTCTTTTTCTCTTAAAGGAGGTCCTGGAATTGTATAAGCCTCAGGCCTCACCAAACATGTATCAGCCTCTGAAATCCCCTCCATGCCCACAGCTCCTAGAGAGCCTCTCTCAGCATTTGGGGTCTGTCTGTGTGTCTCCGTCTGTCACACACACACACACACACACACACACACACACACACAGTGCACACCCTGTTTTGTTAAACTCACCTTTTTTCACTTAATAAAATGTTGTGGATATTCCTATAACTTTTTCATTCATTTAATGACCAAATAGTATGGTGTGTGTTCTTCCCACTTCTCCCTGAAAAAGAAGTATTTCTTTTCAGAGTTAGAAATGACTCTCTGCTAATGATGAGGGGCAAGGAGGCTTTCCTCCCCTTTTCTTTCTTCTCTTCTCATTCCCACCCCCATACACATACCTCTAACTCCCGGTTAAGACTTCCTTCCTTCACGAAATGTGTGCTTTTTCGTAGTGGCCATCTTGTCTAATCCCAGAAAGAAATTTAATGATGAGAATTTGAATCCCCTCCAGTATCCCTGATCTGCATATTCTCTGATTATCAGCCCCCAAGACTCATTTGACTGACTTCCCTCCCCATTCCGTTCATTTTGTTTTCTGGATTCCTCCTTATATGGTAAAGACCTCTTCTCCATCCTTATTGCTACCCTCTTGGAAGTTAGCTCACTCTGTTCTGGGGACTTAACTGGAACTTCTACCTCTCTTTAAGATACTGTTTCCCCTATCAGTTTGTTGATGAAATTGGCTCGTTTTCTGATACATATCCAGGCAAAGGAGAACAGGTACCTGGCTGATGTTTTTTATTGTCCTTGTGAAGTGTGAGGTAAAGACATCTACAGAGAATGAATGCGAGGGTAAACGTGAAGTCCAGTGGTTAACATAAGGGAAGATATGAAATGGCCATTGAGAGACTGAGAGACAGGAGAGAGGTGGAAAACTAAAATGAGTTGCTGAGTAGCAGTGAGGACCACTTAATAAGACCAGTCACTAAACAGTGTTTGGGCTCCTAAATCTTCAATCCCTCCATCACCTCTTGCCAGCTTAATTCTCCTCAACTTTAAACATTTATGAGACCTCATGTTATTTTATGGGTAATGTTCTTTATTTCTCACCATTAAGTATGATTTTATTTTATTTTTTAATTTTTTATTCAAGTACAGTTGATTTACAATGTTGTGTTAGTTTCAGGTGTACAGCAAAGTGATATGTACAGATTCTTTTCCAGATTCTTTTCCATTATAGGTTATTACAAGATATTGAATATAGTTCCCTGTGCTATACAGTAGGTCCTTGTTATTTATCTATTTTATATATAGTACTATGTATCTGTTAATCCCAAACTCCTAATTTATCCCTCCCTCGCCCCCATTTTAGGAGTAATGTTCTAACTCACTCATATATCATAGCCAAGCTTATTGATCATGACGTCCAAGACTTTCCACACCACTAATAAGCTCTACCCTGATAAATCCATGGTCATTTTGCATCTGATTTTTCACTTGTCCTCCCATTTACATTTGATACTATTCACTAATTCAACTTTCTTAAAATGTCTACTCCATTTACATCTATAAAAGTATCCCTCAACACCCTCCTTTTTCCTTCTGATCTTTTCTTCTCACTCACCTTCACTGACTTCTCTTTCATCACCTACCCGTGTTATACTAGTGTCACCCAGGGATCTCTCCGTAATCATTGGCTCACTAAACTACAAAATATAGGCTGATGACTTCCGACACATACACCTACTATAGGTCAAGTACTTTTCTGTACTCATATCAACTTCACTCAGCATTTTCAAAGGTGAATTCAGTATCTTTCCTGTTAAAACTGCTTGTTTTCTTTTTTTCCACTCTCCATTTCCCACTTCCCAAAATGCACCCATGTCCCACCATTCCACAGTCCTCTAACAGACCATGCAGTTTCATGTACTATGCCTTTTCACATGCTGTTTATTCTTCATGGAAACCCTTGTCTCCTTGCCCATTGGATGAACTATCTTTTATGCCAAGGTTTGAACATTTCATGACTCTTTAGTCCCACAGAGTTCTCCAGCCCCCTTTTGCTCTTTCCTAAATAAATACCTTCTTTAAACCTCATTCATAGGCTTTATCACCTTGGTTTTGTAATCATTAATGTATAGACATGTCTTCCCCACCAGTCATGGACTTCCTGTGGATGGGGTATAAAGTGTCACATGAATGTGTAAAGTATCACAACATAGGTTTTTCTAGAAGGTACCAGTGTTATGCAACATGTTTGTTTTCATGCACTGTGAGAAAACTAGATATACAAAATCAACTTATCTCTAGAATCCCTTCACAAATAATTCTCAAAGTCTACAGGGGAATATTGAATATACACTTATAAGCCCAGTTTCTCATCCTCAAGCTTTTGACTGCCAGTGATTGTCAGATGCCCACCTATCACTGCTGCTTCTAGATGTCAGCTGTACCACTCTCGGTGGCATTGTTGTGGTACCACTCACTGTGACAAGTCAGCCTAATATTTGGATATATTCTCCAGAGCCCAAATGCAGCTAAATGCTATTGCTCTCTCCATTTCAATGGAAAGAAATTTCCTTTTCCAACTTTAGCTACACAGGCCCCTAATGCTACTTTACACATCCAGTGTTAGTCAGAAATATGTGTAACAGTCTTTTTGACTTTCATCCTTCTGCAGATGGGGAAACTGAGGCTCGGTGAAGCTAAATCATTTTCTCATAGTCCTATAGCTAGTAGAAATTGCTTTCTGGACCTAAACCCAGATTTGTCTGGATTGCCCTATATATCCTGCTCTTAACTTCCCCTCCCTCACATAAGAATCATTGGGTGACTGGGCCCAAGTTCAAGCTGGTATCAGGAATGATGCTGTTGTCAGAGCAAACCCTCCTTTCTGGCTTAAAGCATCACCATTGGATCAAGCTACTGTGCCTTTACTCTCTCTTTGAGGGTAAAGTCTCCCAGGAAAAATCCCTGGAAGTTTCTCCTTATCTCACGGACTTCTGGCATCTCCTCCTCAATTGTCATCTGAAGTATCTTAAAATATTTGATTCCTTAAGTAAACACAGCTTAGTTTCCAGCTGGAAGCTCTGCTGAACTACTGTTTACAATAGCACTCTGCAGAAGTAAATCCTACATTCAAAACAAACAAAACCTATTGCATTCTCACTGAGATACTGATGGAACTAAAAAAAGTATAGGAAAAATCTTTTGGGGTAAGACAAGGGTGAGCCAATGACAGAAGAACTGTGGAGGGCATCTCTCATTTTTCCACTGGAGGAAGTAAGCATAAGAACGGTAAGGTAGACTCCCTTTCCAGGTAGAGGAAATGAATTTCTTTATGACATTATGAGATGGGAAGAGTGTGGCTGAATAAAAGAAATATGATTTAATGAAAACTCCCGAGACATATGTCATGTTCCTTTTTTGCTCTATCTTTGCCAAGAATAAGGAAAGAGGGAGAATTACTATAAGAGAAAATGAGCAGACTGACTCATTGCTTTGAGGAAACAGAAAAACATTATTGATGAACATGAGGAACTCCATCAGTATGAAAGCAGGTTTTAATATTCTGGGAGAGCTGAAGTAGAAAGCTGGTGAACAGAAGGCATTGAAAGTCTTATAGACAAAGACAAATAATTTTCTAAGTGAGAATAATATTCAATTCCAAAATGGGTGTTAAATGGAAGTTACACTAAACCAAGACATGGTCTTAATACTATGAGAAAATTAATATATGAACATTAATTTATGAGCCTGTAATTGTATGTCTTCAAAGACAAAAGACAGTGATAGGAGGCTTGAGATGTATTTCTTGGACAAACACATACATTCCAGTAATGCTTGGCAACAAGGGTGCCACTTGGGAAAGGGAAGGAAAAGTGTCCAAATTTTAAGAAGATGTACCACAACTGAATTTGCTTAAGAGCATTGTCTTGTGTTTAAATTCTATTTTGCTTTTCTGATTTTAACTGAGACAGCACTAGAAATTGGCTTTTAATAACTTTGGTACCAGCTGAGAGAAGATTTCCCAGTAAGTGGAGAAAAATTCTATCTCTAGACATTCTTCTCAAGGCAGAAAGCTTTGGGAAAATGTTTTGAGATGTTCAGAGAGTAATATGAAACTTCTTGGAAAGTACAGTAAGTTGACACACGTTTTTTG